CCTCCTGAGAAGGGCAAAATGGAAAGCCATAAGGAGCAGTACTTGTTCATGTCATGCTTGAACATCTGGAAAAATCCTAAGCTCCTTTGTTCTTATTAAGCAGGTAATTATTGTCCTTTTGCTTTAATCTACTGCTATTATTACTTGGTTTTACTTTGGCTGAAATGTTTTTATTCAACACAGGATATAGCTCCTAAGTAAATTATATTCTCTGTGAAATTGAAAATGTATCATTTTTTATTCTATGGCAAAAAAAATCATTATTGTGAGCAATAACTTCTCTTTTCTATTTTTAAAACAATTTGTCTGTCTCCATACCATAGTATAAAAATTATAATTAAAAGACTTTGAAGAGAAAGGTGTTAAGAGCATACAGTCATGAAATTTTCTGGGAAAGCATGAGCATACAGTGACTGTTGGTTCATTTGCTTTCTCCTTCTAACACTTTCCTGGAAAGCAAATCTTTTGTCTCCATCACCTAAGTTCACTGAAGTTTCTACTTTCTTGCATTTTTCTGATCTCACATATATTTTTTTTTCAAAACTCTGTTTTGCCTTTAAATACACAAACTAATGGGAGTTCTAAAATGAAAGAACAAAGAAATGAGAAAAGATAATTATCAAATAAATAATCCAAAAATTCACTCAGAATTGAAAGATGAAAGCTTTTGGTCTTAAATGTCCTACTTAATGCCCAGTACAATAAATTCTGAAAGATACACAATGAATCACATTATCATACATTGTAGAACACCAGAAAAAAAAGTTCTGAAGTCTTACCCAGTTAGTGAACACAGGTCATGTGCAAAAGAATAGCACAGGAAATTCACTGGACGCTACATCACAGTGGAGTAAGTCTTTCAAATAAAGAAACATTATTTTAAAACAATGTATATTCCAAGGACTGTTCACAAATGATCTGATCCTCCTATCCCTCCAGTTCCTTGACAGAGCTGATAGACGCGTGCTTGGCCCTTGCTTTGACCAATTAAAGGGAAGAGGCAGCCTTGACAACACTTCTTGCTGGAAAGTGTGTGATGTGTCCCATGCTCTTTAACCTGCCACAGTAACCTGCTACTTTTCTGGCCAATGAAATACAAATGGAAATAATGTGTGTCGGTTCAAGATGGGCTTCCTCAGGGTCAGAGTATGATACTCCCTTTCCTCTGCCTCAATGAATACAGAAGCATTTGAGATGAAGATTTTACTGGATTGGGCTATATCAGAGCTCTTTTTCCAAGTAAAAAGTAAACATTTCTGTTAAATCTCTGAGATTTGTGGGCTGTTTGTTAAAACCACATAAGCTAATGTGTATGGGCTAATACAAGCAAGAAAGATCTCCCCAGTCTGCCAATGAGGGTGAGGTAGGATAAGACATTTTCAGACACGCAATGCTCATAACTTTTCTCCCATTTATAACTTCCAAAGAAGTTACTCGTAAAAGTATTCCAACAAATAAGGTAATGAAACAGTGAAAGGAGATTATTGAATCCCAAATCCCTGGGTCCTCCTGGAAGCGTAGATTGAAGTTGGGGAGGGGAACTGCAAGATGGAGTTGCCTAGGAAACAAAAGACAAAGAGAAGATTTTTTTTTAAATGGAATGCATGAATAGTTGGAAATACTTAAATATATGTTCTAGGCAAATAATGCAATAAAAAAGTAGTTTAAAAATACTGTGAAAACTTGCACGCTATACAATCTTGGTGATGCATGCCTATGTTTCAGCAATTCGTGAAGCTGAGGAAGAAGAATGGCAAGTTAAAGGTCAACCTAAGCAATTTAGCAAGATCCTGTCCTAAAAAATAAAAAGGGCTGGGGTTGTAGCTCAGTGACTGAGCACCCCTAGATTCAATCCCTAATGTGAGGAAAAAAAAAAATTCCTTGCGCACTCAGGTACAATCTCAAGGGTGAAGCACATTAAAATACTGAATCACTTCAAGCAACTAATAAAGTATATGGAAAGAGAATATATTTGACTTTGACCCAGCTCATTCTTTTTTGAGGACATTTGGGTTTGTGATAGTGAATGCATATAGAATCATACATAATACTAGCAAGTACTTAAAATCAGAATGGAACAGCTTTGATCATACCAATACAGTTATAATGGGAACTCATGGAATATGTTAAATTTTTTTTTCTTTCATTACTTTTCCTAAAAACTTGATAAAATTCTGATCTTTTTATAACTAGATGAAAACTATCAATTTTATTACTTATTTGGGTATTCTTAAGTCATAAAATTCAGAAGGTCTTCCTAATTCATTACATCACACAATATAGTCTTTTTTTTTTTTTTTGGTGGGGGGAAGGTACTGGGAATTGAATTCAGGTGTACTTGACCAAGGAGCCACATCCCTAGTTTTATTTTGTATTTTATTCAGAGACAGGGTCTCACTGAGTTGCTTAGCACCTCACTTTTACTGAGGTAGGCTTTGAAATCATGATCTTTCTGCCTCAGCCTTCCTAGCAGCTGAGATTACTGGCATGCACCACCATACTGGGCCAATATAGTCTTAATAGAGATATTAGAATGCACATTGCCTTAATTCATTTTGTACTGCTTTAACAGAATACCAGAGACTGGGTAATTTATGAAGAACAGAGATTTATTTATTATAGTTCTAGAAGCTGGAAGATCCAAATTCAAGGACCCACATCTGGCAAGGGCACTCAGACTACCTCACACTATGGAAGAAGACAGGAGGGCAAAGCAGCATGCACAGAAGAGAGAATGCAGAAGGGGGCCAAATTCATCCTTTGGTCAGGAACCCACATCCATAATAAGTAACCTATTCTTGAGGACAGCAGGGATCCACTCCTGAGAGCCTCTTAATGTTCCCACCTCTCAACACTGTTTTACCGGGGATTTAATTTTCAACACATTAATTTGTAGGACATATTTAAATCACAGCTCTCCTAGTGTCAATAATCATCATTTTAATTTTCTTTCCAAGATAAGACTTCCTTTCCAAGAGTTCTCACCTAACAATTGAGGTGCTGTTAGATGCAAACTTGCATCCAGAAACTTGAGCAAGTGAAATTATTTTCTTTCTCACTTCCTGTTTCTCTACTCCCTAAGATTTTTTTCTGAAACCTTTGGGGCAACATCAGAAACTGAAAGGCACATTAAAGGAGAGTCAGAATGCACATTCTTCCCTTTTATGATTGTAGGTTACCTTCATGCTCTCTAGGCGTGGTAGATACTAAAAGAACACTTCTTTATCTTATGGATGCTTTTGTGCTTTCATGGAAGTTCCCATGCTGGGCCCATCCATTTATAATTTATCAGACTTAAACAGTGATGATGGCATCTCAGCTCTAGTTTTGCAGGAGTCTCCAATGAGTTTTCAATTTCAGGAAATTCTCTTTGCCAAGAGAAACAGCAGCTTCAGGGTAGCTTGCGCTCCTACTTGCCCTGCATTTAATGAGTGGGAAACATTCACTTCTCGTCCTCGTTTCCAGATAACACTGCATTTTCCTCCCTAGTTTATTACAGATCCCTTGGCCTTCTCAGGAAGATATCAGTCTTATCTGCCCCTCTGAGCAATAATTTTGAAGCTCTTTTTACTCACAACACTTAACTTAGATAATGGAAGCTCAGACTTTCACTTTACCAAGTCACGGCTCTCTACCAACATCTTTAACAAGTTCTTGTTATAAACTCTCTCTGTGAATTAAAAAAAAAAAATTAGACTTTTGACATCTGCCATTTGGGAGGTTATTAGGTTTTGTTTGTTAGATCATAAATGTTCAAACCTTAAAAATATGAAAGTAAATATTCATATAATAGTGTGTGGAAGAAGACAGGCGAGATGCAGGAAAGAATGAGGGAGATAATATTCTTATCATAAAATGAGATATAGAAAGCTACAAGAAAGAAGAAATGGAGGTTTATAATAGTTGCAAAGCTGACCACTTACGAGCTACTGTTAATGATATAGCTATCAACATCCAGAGGAAGATAAATGAGATGTGTAAGTTTTTTCAACTAAATAGCCATCCTTTGTACTGGGAAGAAGATAGATTTTGTCCAAAGTGGATAAACCAAGCAATAGACACATACATAAAATAAAAGATTTATTTGTTTAGATTATATAATCACGATCACATAAGGAAATCATTTTGATTCCTTCATTCTGTAAGTATTTATACCCACTTTTAAAAAGTTTAGACTTTATCAAAATAACACATACATGTATATTATTGAAGCAATCTAAATAAATAAAATAAATATTACTATGGAGTGAATGTTATTTTCATCTCAAAATTCATGTGTTGAAGTCCTAAACTTCAGTGTGATGGTATATGAAGGTGAGGTCTTCAGAAGACAATAGGTTCCTATTAAGTCAGCAGGGTACAGCATCAATGATGGAATTAGTGTCCTTTAAAGAAAAGGAACACACTGGAGCCCTGTGTCTTTCCACCAAGGAAGGTTACACACACAAAAAAAAAATCAATTATCTACAGACCAATTGAGAGTCCTTACCAGATACCAAATCTGGTAGCTTCTTCATCTTAGACCACCCCCCAGCCTCCAGAAACAAATATTGTTTAAACACACTTTTTGCTATTTTTGTCATAGAATCTGAAACTAAGAAACTCATCTCTTTAAAGACAAACCATCATTAATTTTTTTAGAGTAAAACTTGACCTGCTTGTCAAGAGTTAAAATAGCTATTTATTTCACTAATATGCAAAACTCTATTTAAATGTGATAGGAAAAAAAAAGAACAATTCAAAAGCAAACTTGGTAAAACCCTGAATGATAAACTTGCACAAAGCTACCTACAGTAATGCCACAGGTTCTGAAATGAATTGCCCTAACATTATCACGTTGGGTTTAATACAGAGTTAAATTTGCAGTTTTATGAGTCATCTGATCAAAGCCCTGAGATTTCTGGGGACATGTGGTGACAGAACATGTGACCTAAAGTCCTTGTTGGCGGCACAACTACATTCCTTATCTTCCAGAAATTTTGACAAACTGCCTAGTGCTGATTTATAAGCAGCAAAATCTGAGAAAAGCAGCATGGCTGAGTGGTGCCACCAACAAGACCTGCAGACCAGCCAGTTCCATGTTCAAGAAGGAAAATGGTACTATCTGTCTTAGAGAATCAACACCCACAGCTCTAAGGTCTGTAGATAGATCTTGATCCACTAGTTGAAATGTGTCTTTTGGAATGTTTCTAATTGTGCCTTCTGGGTGGGGAAATACTCTACGAATTCTTTATTTTCTGACCTAACACTCCACCCCAAACCACATTTTTTTTCTTTTTTTAAGTTGAACTGTTTTCTTGATGGAGAAGGTTAAAATGATGGTTGAAATGAGGGCATCTCCTTGGAGTGGGTAATGAGACCCAGACTCTTTCTCTCTCTTTTGCTACTCTCCCCACCAAGACATGCTGCTTCTCCATAGGCTTAAAAGCAACCGGCCAACTGAGTGTAAACCAAAACTGTGAGCCAAAGTACACCTTCTCTCATTATCAGTTGATTACCTCAGTTATTTATTATAGTGAGAGAAAATGATTAACACAGGCATCCAAGACTTAATCAAGGAAAGAGAGAGAAGGAAAGCTATTAGGCAGTAACATCTTGGCTATAAATTTATATCATCTTAGATTTGCATTCTGAAAAAGTAATCATATGAAAAAACACACTGCATATTTACTCCTGGCTTAATGAAATTAAGGAACTATGTAGCTGTATTATAAACCCCTACCCTAGACTATAAATAATACTTTCATTTAGAAAGTCCTTGATAAACCAAGGACTATGTCTAACTCTTCTTTTATAATTTAATCTATGTGTTATATGAATACAATTATGCAGTTAATAAAATGTATAGTATGTATATATATATATATATATATATATATATATATATATATATATATTTCCCTTCACAATCTGCTAATAAGTCTTATTTCTTTGTACATAGTAATGCTCTAAGCCAGGCAAGGTGACATATATCTGTAGATCCAGCTACTTGGGAGTCTGAGGAAGAGGGATAGCTTGAACCCAAGAATTTGAGGCCAGTCTGAGCAGCATAGTGAGACCCTGTCTCAAAAGAATAACAACAACAATAATAATGACTTTAAAAAATTATCAGTGCCTTATAATTTTGCATAATAGTGGGAATAATAATGCTTTGAGCAGTATTCTTTCTTACTGTGAAATTCTCAGTGATATAACCATTTGGATGTACAGCTTAGTCACAGGCTAATGACTATCCCCTGGGTTGCATTGTGATTAATATATCAAAACACTTGTATTCATCCTATACAGCAAAAGGTGTCATGGTAAAACATTTCCTTAACATGGAGTGAATGTGAGATTTGGAGAATATTAGATCAGGGCAGTAGCCAGAGGACTAAGGATGATGTGGTTTCACCTGAAAACAACCTTCACACATGAACTCCCAGGACACCATTAGAGGAAAGCATGAACACATAGTTTTATTCTAACATAAATCAAAAGTGACTAAGCATTGTATTCCGATTTCCCCTAAATTAAATTTATCTTGGAATGGAGACAAAACAGAGATGAATTGCAATTGAAGAACATTTTTCATCATATTCTAAACATGTGTAAACAAAAAATAAAGCTGAAAATCTATATGCCCTTTCACCCAGTCTCAGGGAGCCACCTCACTGAAACCATTTGCTACTACATGGAAAATAACCAAAGTGGATTAGGCCCGCGGAACAAAAGAAGTGACATTATAAACTCAAGTCACAAGCAACAAGATCCCATAGGGAGTAAATTCCTTAAAAGGAACTTTCAAAATCCCTTTGTTCTAGGTTTATCAGCTTAAGGGGCTTAATTTCACAAAGCTTTAGAAAGGAAGAACACTGTGGTACACACTTCGATAAGTTCAGGTCTCCTAATCCTTCTAAATTGCTCTGTCTTGTTTAGAAAAGATCTGCTTACAACCATCTTTGTGCAAGTGTAAACACAAGAGCTCTCAGATCATTCTTTGTGCTTCAGATCTGCCAGACATCATTCATGTCTCATTTTACAGGCAAACCCTTAGCACCACCACAGGCTTCTGAAGAAAACCAAACCGTAAGGCAAGGCTCATGTACAAATCTTTGCATGTCTGGGCTTCCCTATAAGGGCATTGGGTTTTATTCCCATCACAATTCTTGTTTACAACTTTCTGAATTTATAGCCACCCTCTTAGACATCTGCAGTCATCACTTTTTCTCTCTTTTCTAAGGACAAGCACAATTTTCTATTTAGGACATCAAGCAGGTATTTTCTCCTACAAAACCTTAAAGGGAGATTCCCACCCCCCCCCCTGTGTTTTTACCATTGAAATAACTCAAATGTAAGATTCTAATGCTGTCAACAGGATTAGTATGAATTTCTTTGACACTAAAACTTTAATATTTCTGGAAAGTTCCATTAGCTGCATGTCAGGCAAACAGGGCTCTAAACCCACAAAAAAATTATTTATTCACTATTGACTGATAGTCTATCTCTCCATTTTCTTTGTATTTCATAGCATCACAGACTTTAAAAGTCGGGAGCAATCTTAGGGTCTCATCCAATTCAATACTCTCATTTTAGAGAGAGGATCTCATACCCAAAATCACTAATTTAATGCACCCTCCCCACTCCAGAAGCACTAACTTCTCTTCTGATCTTCTCATTTCAGTGTACTTATTGCTCTCTCCACTGTACTATGACCCAGATTCCCAGCCAACATCTAATGACAGGGTTCCTATCACAAGCACATTGTAAGGTTCACACAAAATATTTGACCTGGAAGTATTTGGAAAAACAGTAAACATAACCAAAATGTGAGCTGTTGTATATGTTAATCTTAATAATAGCTGCAAGATGAAAGCTCAGATATGTCCTTTAGAAATTGCTTTCAGATTTTATAATAATGTATTATCAAGAAAGAGATTCCATTTCATATCTATCACTGGCAAAATTCTCTCTCTCTCTTTCCCTTCTTCCCTTCCTCCCTCACTTCCTCTCTCCCTCCCTCTCTCCCTCCCTCCTTCTCTCCCTCCCTCCCTCCTTAATATAAACTTGAAAAACTATGCAGTAGCTTAAAACATTTTTTTGACTTTGCCTCTATTATGATACTGACATGTAAACTTTTTGTAGTGGACTGAATTGTGTGTCCCTAAAGTTTATATCCCAAAGCTCTAACCTTCCGTGTGCTTGTATTTGGAGGTAAGGTTTTCAGGAGGCAATTAACTAAGGTTAAATAACATGATAAGGAGGGGGCCCAGTATGACTGGTGACCCTATAAGAAGAGGACAGAAAGACTTCTCTCTCTACACAAAAGTCATATAAGCCTACAGCAAGATGGCAGCCATCTGTGAGCTGAGAAAAGTCCCTCACCATAAGCTCAGCTGAACATTGATCTTGGACTTCTGGCTTCCAGAAGTGAGAGAATACATTTTTGTTGTTTACATCCCAAGTCTATGGTATTTTATTGCCTAAAATGTTACCTATTTTATTACTTTATTAGCCTAAGCTGCCTAATGTACCACTTCAGAGTAAACAACAGAAAAATATCATTTAAGAAACACCACATGGAAAAGTATGAACTTTATATTGATAACAATCAGGAAATATTTTAAAAGTCAGCTGTGTATGTTTATTGTGACTAGTCTTTCCCACATCACTCCCTGACACATCTGGCTGTTAAAGTCGCCAACATGACACTCAGCAACAATAGGAAAAACAACAACAAGCCAATCAGATCCTTAACATCATGATAACATCCCACTGAAAAATGCAGCATGCTTTATTCCAGGGCAATAAAAAATGTTGTGGTGTTTTGCTTATTTCTAAAAATATAATAGTCCTACAAAAAAAGGAAATAATTCATCCTTTCATTGGAAAAAAAAACAAAAATATCTTCAAAGAGCAAAATCTTTGTGACTTGCTTCCTCCCATTGGTGAACTCTGGGCTGATCCCTACTTGGAGCTGGTGACAGGATGCCACAATACTCAAGTTCTTTCACCCAGTACCAAGCATTTTAACAGCTGAAACTGCATGGGTACTAATTATTTTCAAGGAGTTCTTTCACCTTCCTTTCCAGCTTTTAGTTTCAACAATTATTTTCTTTTCTTTCCCTTTTTTCCCCCAATATTGTTTTTCTCTTTTATGTTGCCAGAAGAAGCCAGGCTTTTTTTTTTCCAAAGATTAGATTACCAGCCAGTGACTTTCCTTTGTTGAAAGGACGAGCTTTCTAACAAAGGAGGTGCCTTTCTGGGTAAAGCAAGATGCATTAAAACAGTGGGTCACAAGTCTTAGATAAAGTAATTCTTCATAAACCTAAGCAACTTTGTGAGCTTTCCGGATATTGGTACTAATTTCAGTCTTTCTTTCTAAAAACATAACAAAACAACAGTGAGGAAGAAAAAAGGCACACTTACCTTCCAAACAACAATCTCAATAATGAGTTTCTTTGTTTGAAATTCAAAATAACTACCCACTATGTTATTTATTGGGGGGAAAAAAAGAACATATTTCTATTGATGTGATGGTTTGGATGTGAGGCATCCCTCAAAATTGCATGTATGAGACAATGCAAGAAGGTTTTGAGGAGAAATGATTGAGAATTAATCAGTTGGTGGGATTAATTGAATGGTAATTGAAAGTGGGTAGGTTGTGGCTGGAGGAGGGGGGCATTGAGGGTGTGGCTTTCAAGTATATACTTGTATCTGGCAAGTGGAGTCTCTCTCTCTCTGCTTCCTAATCATCATGTGAACAGCTTCCCTCTGCCACACTCTTCCTGCCTCAGCTTCAGCTCTGAATAACCTTTTTCTCCTCTACAGGTGTTCTGGTCAGACCCCTTAGTCACAGCTGCAAAAAAAAAAAAAAAAAAAAAAGCTGACTAAAATAATTGGGCATCAAATAAACTGAGTAATCTTCATATTCACACCTCACTGATTACACTTTTTATTATTTTCATGAGTTTAAATTAAGAAGCAAGGTATAAGGCTGGGGTTGTGGCTCAGCGGCAGAGAGCTCCCCTAGCATGTGTGAAGCCCTGGGTTTGATCCTCAGCACCACATAGAAAAATAAATAAATAAAATAAAGGTATTGTTTCCAACTACAATTAAACAATAAAATATTTCAAAAAAAATATCGACAATTTAGAA